ATAGTGAGTTCAAAAACTATTATGTTAATAAAAAAAACACCAAGGCTTATTTAAGAAGAAGGCTTGGAACAAAGCTGAAGGAAAGAAAAAAACTAAAAACAGATTGTTAGGATAATACATTAAATATGATCTTTTTCCTTTAAAATTTTCATTATACTCATGGTAAATTTCGGATTAAAAATATTGATAAAAATTCTGAAAAGAAGAAATTAAAAAGCAATGTGAGAAGATAGTAATACTAACTAATAAAAGAGTTTTGGACCCCTAGATCAAATGAGTTTGTATTATAAGAGACTAAGACATTTGTAGATGAGACTCATAAAAGTCTTTTAAGAAATTATGGAAAACTGAAGGGTGATGTAACTAGAGACAGGAAAAATTGTGATTTTTTTCACAAAGTTGGCAATAAACTCCCAAACCTGGCCAAAGTGTGGTTCATAGATCTACAATATCAGCATCATCTGGAAGCTTGTTAGAAATGCAAATCTCAGTCCCCATCCCAGACCTAGTAAATTAAAATCTCTATTTTAACAAGATCTTCAGTTGATCATATATACATTATCAAGTTTGACATTAACTAACATAAACCAGCAAGGAGTGGTGAGAAAAAGGCATGCCAAATTAATCTTATCTTTAGACAAGTTTACTTAAATGATAAAGTCAGAGAGCAAACAGACACAAGCAAATAGTTTCTGGAAAATTATTCACAATAACAAAATGTCAGACTAACTGCTTTTCTAGAACTCAAAGCATGTGTTCTTCCCTTATATAGCACCATGTATGATCAGGATCTCATAAACAAATAACCTGGACTTGTCTGCACTGTGACTCCTAAAGAAGCTTGACTACAAAATGTAAAAAAAAAAAATTTTTTTAATCACTTGAACATGGTATTTTCAATCATTCATCAAAATACTCAAGATTTTATCATCAGAAGACTACATTAGCTTTCTGAATAGCACAACTGCGTTTACTTTCTAACAGTTAACATTCTGCACATTTAGCTTTTATTGCTAAAAGAAACTTCTCTACATAACATGTATTTTTGCTTTTGCTATACAATTATTATTAAAATAATTATCCATTATATAATGCAACTTCTTATACTATCTATAGATCCAAGTGTGTAATATACATGAGCGAAACAGACCACAAGTAAAAAAAAAAAAAAGGGCCAGATATGTAATCAAACTTTATTAACTGGATTATTCTGCAAGCATACTAATAGCTTCCCTGGTGGCTTAGATGGTAAAGAAGGAATCTGCCTGCAATGCAAGAGACCTGGGTTGGGAAGATCCCCTGGAGGAGGGCATGGCAACCCGCTCCAGTATTCTTGCCTGGAGAATCCCCATGGACAGAGGAGTCCATAGGGTCGCAGAGAGTCGGACACGACTGAGCGACTAAGCACACACATACTAACAATGTACATACATGTAAAAAAAAATACAAGCTATATTTTAAATTTGAAATCTAAAAAACAATTTCTCAAATTTTCTTCTTCAAATTGATTATTCTTTTGATTTGGAAATAGAAAACTGAAATTTTTTCTCCTACACCAATATGTCAATGTCCACATATACTGATAGGGAATAAGTAGATACCTAAATGGAAATTTGGATAATGTTATCAATAAGAAAGTGGATTGAATGAGTGATGACTGACCAAAAGCAGTAAATGTCCACTACATCTGATATTCCAAATTTGTCTGATCAGAATTTACTATCACACTATACTACAGTTTAATTCGTAGTTCTTTAGTCACTTTAGTAATATTAATTGAGAAAGGCAAAATAAACAATGTTTTTCATTATTATAATGTTGAAAATCAGAAAACACATTCTTAAGAATTCAATCTTTAAGTCTAAAATTTTGAGTACGTAGTTCATATAATCAATTCCATCTCTGCAAATCAATTTCAACATAGAAAAGTGAGTCAGATTAGTCCCTGCCAAATGAGTTTCCCAAAGAAATGACTTCACTAAAAACATGTGAATTAAAATTTACATTCATGTGGGGCTTCCCAAGAGGTCCAGTGGTTAAGAATCTGCCTTGCAACGAAGGGGACACTGGTTCAATTTCTGGTCCGGGAAGATCCCACTTATCACAGGACAACTAAGCCTGGGTGCTACAACTGCTGAGCCTGTGCTCTGGAGCCTGACAGCCACAACTACTGAGCCCATGTCCAGTGTGGTAACAATTGAAGACCCATGTCCTATAGCTCGTACTCCATAAAAAGGGAAGCCACTGCAATGAGAACCCCATGCACCACAACTAGAAGAGTAGCCACCATTCTCCTCCACTAGAGAAAGCCCGTGCACAGCAACGAAGACCCAGCACAGATTAAAAAAAAAAATTAAAACTGTATATTCATGTAATTACTTACTTCAGATGTACAAGCTGGATTTAGAAAAGGCAGAGGAAAAAGAGATCAAATTGCCAATACCTGCTGGATCACAGAAAAAGCAAGGGAATTGCAGAAAAAACATCTGCTTCACTGACTATGTTAAAGCCTTTGACTATGTGGATCACAACAACTATGGAAAATTCTTTAAGAGATGGGAATACTAGACCGCCTCAACTGTTTCCTGAGAAGCTTGTATGCAGGATAAGAAGCAACAGTTAGGACTGGACATGGAACCACGGACTGGTTCAAAACTGGGAAAGAAGTATGTCAAGGCTGCATACTGTAACCCTAATTATTTAATTTATATACAGAGTAAGTACATTATGAGAAGTTCCAGGCTGGATAACTCACAAGCTGGAATCAAGACTGCCAGGAGAAGCATTAACAACCTCAGATATGCAGATGACACCACCCTTATGGCAGAAAGCAAAGAGCCTCTTGATGAAAGTGAAAGAGGAGAATGAAAAAGCTGGCTTAAAACTCAACATTCAACAAACTAAGATCATGGCATCTGGTCCCATCACTTCATGGCAAGTAGATGGGAAAACAATGGAAATAGGAAGAGACTTTATTTTCATGGGCTCCAAAATCACTGCAGATGGTGACTGCAGCCATGAAATGACAGCATGCTTGCTCCTTGGAATAAAAGCTACAATAAGCCTAGAGAGCATATTAAAAAGCAGAGACATTACTTTGCTGACAAAAGTCCATATAGTCAAAGCTATGGTTTTCCAGTAGTCATGTAGAGATATGAGAGTTGGACCATAAAGAAGGCTGAGCACCAAAGAATTGATGCTTTCAAACTCTGGTGCTGTAGAAGACTCTTGAGTGTCCCTTGGACAGCAAGATCAAACCAGTCAATCCTAAAAGTAATCAACCCCGATTATTCATTGGAAGGACTGATGCTGAAGCTGAAGTTCCAAGCCTTTGGTCACCTGATGCAAAGAGCCTATTCATTGGAAAAGACCCTGACGCTGGGAAAGGTTGAGGGCAAGAGGAGAAGGGGGTGACAGAGGATGAGATGGTTGGATGGCATCACCAACTCAATGGACATGAGTTTGAGCAAACTCTGGGAGACAGTAAAAGACAGGAACGCCTGACATACTGCATGCAGTTCATGGGGTCACAAAGAGTCAGACATGACTTAGCAACTAAACAACAATATTCTATGATATAAGTACACTACATTTTGGTTTTCTTTTCATTAGTTCATAGATATTTTTGTATTTCCACATTTGATTATTAAAAATAATGCTGCTACGAACATTCATATACCCGCTGTGTTTGTATGGATATGTTTCCTGTTTAACTCAGGATTGGAACTGCTGGGTCATATGGTAACTCTCTCTTTAACTTATTCAGGAACTGACAGACTGTTTCTAAAGTAGCTATACCATTTTACATTCCCACCAGCAGTGTATGAGGATTACAATTTTTCACATCCTTGTCAATTTCTGTTATTATCTATCTTTTTTATTACAGCCATCCTAGTGGTATAAAGCAGTTTCTCACTGTGGTTTTGATTTGCATTTTCCTGAAGACTAACGATGTTCACCATCTTTTCAAGTGCTTATTCAGAGTAAATTTGATGAATACCAGAGCTTGAAAACCACTAAAGAGGTGTACAAGTACTTTAAGGTCCCTTCTGACATTAATAATCCCATGATGATAGAGCCAGAGGGGTATATCATCTGCAGAACTACACTTGCACATGCCTTCCAGTTCCACATGACACTGGCCTGCAAGTTAACCTAGTCAACTCTGGTTTTACAAAACCCTATCTTAAAATGAAACTTCTTTTTCATTTATTTTTTAAAATTTTAATATAAATTTTAAAATTGACTTGACCACTTATTGTTTATTCCTTGACTACTCTTTGGAAGGAAAGTTATGACCAACCTAGACAGCATATTAAAAAGCAGAGACATTACTTTGTCAACAAAGGTCTGTCTAGTCAAGGCTACGGTTTTTCCAGTAGTCATGTATGGATGTGAGAGTTGGACTATAGAGAAAGCTGAGCACCGAAGAATTGATGCTTTTGAACTGTGGTGTTGGAGAAGACTCTTGAGAGTCCCTTGGACTGCAAGGAGATCCAACCAGTCCATCCTAAAGGAGATCAGTCCTGGGTGTTCATTGGAAGGACTGATGTTGAAGCTGAAACTCCAATACTTTGGCCAACAGATGTGAAAAGCTGACTCATTTGAAAAGACCCTGATGCTGGGAAAGACTGAAGGTGGGAGGATAAGGGGATGACAGAGGATGAGATGGTTAGATGGCATCACCAACTCAATGGACATGAGTTTGGGTAAACTCCAGGAGTTGGTGATGGACAGGGAGGCCTGGCGTGCTACAGTTCATGGGGTCTCAAAGAGTCGGACACGACTGAGCGACTGAACTAATCTGAACTGAACTTATTGTTTAAATCATTAAGCAAGCAGTTCCATCTTCTAATTTGATTAGCACAATGCCAAATATTGTGCTTTGTGAATATGGGTATAGATAGATACAGATATAAACAGATATACTTCAACTTAGGTTAATGAAAACCTTAGAAAAATGTTAGTCTTTAAAGAAAAGAAAATCAATTCTTCTATACCTTTCATGATCCATCAGCAGTTTAGCAATATTCAGACAGAAGTTCATAGACATGCCAAAATGTAGAATGTCCATAAGAGCTAACAAAAAGAAAAAATGAAATAATAATATCAGTTTCATTTTTGAGGAAGCTTAGCTATTTTCAATAATTTTCCTTTGTTCAAAATCTACTTTCTAAATGTTTGCCATATATCATGTATTGCCTAACAATTCATCAAAGCCTTTTTATATGCCAGTAATATCCAATGCTACAGAGAATGCAGTGAAACAGGCAAAGGAACCTTGTGAAAAGCAATTTGAGTACTATATGCTAAAAACCCAGTGATTAAGAGCTTGGGATCTGAAGTCAGTCAGACAGATCCATATTTGAAACCACTTGCCACTTTTATGGCCATAGTCAATTTACTTAGTTTTTATAGACTTTAGTTTTGCCATCTGTAAAGTGGGGAACAAATCACCAATCTCTCAGGGTTGTTGAGAGACTTACGTGAGATAATACATGTAAATTACATAGCAGAAGAGCTAGTACTTAGTAAGCATTCAATAAATGACAGCTGCTATTATGATTCTCTTTATTTCAGAAACTGTACTTCTGATAAGTCATCTGAAATAAATGTGGGGAAATGTAACAAACAAAGATATTATTAAGCAACACAGATTATGACAATAAAAATGATGTATACTGAGTCTCCACTATACGATAGTGACAAATTACTATGCAACCATTCAAATTGTTAAATGTAAAATAAAACTGTTTTTCACTTAAAAAATGAATATGTACCAATATGAATTATAAGATTAGTAAAAAAATTGGAAAACAAAGGCTGTCTATAAATTCTGTATAAGAGCAAATTCAGATACTGAAAATAAACCATCAAATTTCTAAAAGTGATTGTGTTTAGATTATTTACTCAACAAATAGCTAATAAGTGTATTCTTAGTGCCAGGGAGCTGTGCTGGGAATCCAGCAGTAGATAAAACACACAAAAACCTCTGCTGCCACAGAGCTGATATTCCAGTGCATGGTGGACAATGAGTATTTTTAGTATATTCCAAAAACTACTTTTTCATAATAAAAAACATTACATATTTTCTAAATGTCTACTTTCTCTACTATAAAAAAATACCAGTGAAGTTCTAATGACAGTAGTTAGGGTGATGATTCTTAAAGTACTTTCATTAGCAAAAAAATGAACATATTATAAAAATGCAAGTTTCATTTATACCAATATATTTAATATAACAAAATGAAAGATAATTGTATTACTTTAAACTATAGAAAACTTAAATTCATGGAAGTTTCTTAGTTTATAATCTAATGTTGCAACTTCATTACTCTATCATGAGTATCTAGATTGAGCTAAGTAAAAACAATCTGGAAATAGAGAATAATTTCATTTTAAATTGTTTCTTTTCTACATTTTGATTTTAAAAAATTTAATAGGAAATAACTTCAAACTAGGTAACACCAATAATCTCTCTGATCTTCCCAACCTATATTAGTTTGAATAAGACTATTCCTCTAATTGCTCAGTTGGTTTGTTTACTCCCATACTGCAAAACAAGGATGAAGTTGTCTTTCTGGCTCTGAACAGATTTCAGCCTGTGCATATCTGAGCTGATACTATTACGTAGAGGTGCAGAATCCTCTATGTATTTCAGATCCTGAGATCTCCTGATGATTGGCTAATATTCTAGAAATCACAGAAAGGTTCAGTAGTACCAAATAGGCACTAAATTTACAGCAACTTCCAAATCTGATTACAGTCCTACTTATTATAAACTGCTATTATTTACTGGATAATCAGTTATTATACTAACATATAATATTATATAGCAAAAATAACACAGCTCTATGATTATATGTTATACAGTAAAAAAAATAAAGCAGGTACACATTAAAAATTTTAAATTATTTTTATGACTAAACATAACTGAAATATTGTTAAGAGGTCAGTGTGCATAGAGAGATATTTTGCCTCACTTAATTCCTCTATATGACAACCATAGTGTATCTTTTTTTTTTTTTACATGTATTCCCCATCCCGGTCCCCCCTCCCACCTCCCTCTCCACCCAATCCCTCTGCGTCTTCCCAGTGCACTAGGCCCGAGCACTTGTCACTATGGTTGTGATTAAAAAAAAAATAAATAAATAAATTTTAAAAAAAATTAAAAAAAAAATAAAATGGATAATCAACAAGGAAAAAAAAAATAAAATAAAATAAAAGTTAAAAAAAAAATTCCTCTATATGGTACTAATAACAGTTAATAGTAGTAACCATAATAACTAAATGATAGGTAATATTTATTACACACTAACTATGTACCAAGCATGGAACTAAATGCTTTAAACACTTTTTTCATAGAATTCTCAAAACAACACAATGAGATAAACATTAATATTATATATATATATATATATATATATTTTTTAAAAGATGAAGAAACTGAAGCATAGAAATTTAAGTGACTTGCCAAATGACTCAGAGCCGCATATAAGTTTATGCTGAGATATGCACATTCTAGTTCCTTGAGAATTTCGAAAAACAAAGAGCAATGTTTATACAAGTAATTGGGCTTCCTTGATAGCTCAGTTGTTAAAGAATCCACCCACAATGCAGGACACCCCGGTTCGATTCCTGGGTCAGGAAGATCAGCTGAAGAAGGGATAGGCTACCCACTCCAGTATTCTTGGGCTTCCCCTGTGGCTCAGTTGGTAAGGAATCCGCCTGTAATACGGGAGACCTGGGATCAATCCCTGGGTTGGGAAGATCCCCTGGAGAAGGGAAAGGCTACCCACTCCAGTATTCTGGCCTAGAGAATCCCATGGACTGTATAGTCCATGGGGTTGCAAAGTCGGACACAACTGAACGACTTTCACATTCACTTCACAGACAAGTAATTATAAAAGGCACAGCATTGCAAAGGCTTTTTCTATCAATATGTTATCTTTTTTCATGATGGGCACGTTGGGCAGCTGCAATTTTCTGCTAGATTAAAGGAAAACTGATAGTTTTTATTTAGCTCTTTTTTTTTTTTTTACTACTTGCTAAATTTCCTACTGTGTTCTCTTCCTTCTCCTTTGCTTCCTGACGATCTTATGTACTCAATTTCCTTCTCAGGCACCATCAAATTATACCTATGCTAGTATGATATAAAATATCTTACAGTCAACAAATTGGCATTAATATTTCAAAACTCTGTACTTTTCACGCACAGAGATGTTACTTACCTCGAAAAAGTTCTTCATTAGTTATTTTACCCATCAAGAGGATTTTCACCTTTAATAAAAGCCCAGCTTGATTTAAGTGTTCCTATTTTAAACAAAGAAATAACAATGATATTAACTGTAGAATGTAAAAGACAATTTTCAAGTAATTGCCTATTTCACTAAACCACACCAAGATGACTCATGATCAAAGGAAATCAAAATTATAAAAGGTCAAATCATAATATTCAGTCTATCCATGAGGCTATTTTCTGATATTTTATTCAATCTTAATGGAAAAGAACATGTAAACACTTCTATTGAGTGGCAAGCATTTAATGGCAAGGTCAATATTTAAACTGTGAGAATATAAGACCATATTCTTATCTTGGTAAGCAAAACCCTAAACATCAATTAGATCCACTTTCTTTTGAGATCTTAATAACAACCAAATTCCTTTGCAAATAATGGTTGAATGAAATGAACATACTGTCTTTCCTATAGGATATGCCTATCACATTTACTATTAATAACAATATACTCAGAATGATTTTTCTAAGTCCTTGCTACTTGAACCTGGTTCTACTTCTGCCTGACAGTGTACATTTTGAAACAGCTGTCTATGATTAAAAGTGTAGTCTAGGGGAAGGCAATGGCAACCCACTCCAGTACTCTTGCCTGGAAAATCCCATGGACGGAGGAGCCTGTAGGCTGCAGTCCATTGGGTTGCTAAGAGTCAGGCATGATCGAGCGACTTCACTTTCACTTTTCACTTTCATGCATTGGAGAAGGAAATGGCAACCCACTCCAGTATTCTTGCCTGGGAAAGAGGAGCCTAGTGGGCTGCCGTCTATGGGGTCGCACAGAGTCGGATACGACTGAAGCGACTTAGCAGCAGTAGCAGCAGCAGCAGCATCAAAGTAATACAGGTTTTGAAACCCTGGCTTTATCTTATAAGCAGCAATGAATGGAAACAGTAATATTCAACTTCCCCCTGCCCCAACTATTTTTTAATCTGTTCAAATTGCATAAAATAAGTTTTTGTGCCAGAAAATGTAAAAGAAGTCAACATTTACACTTTGGATACTGCTTTTACTGAAATAAAGTGTCGTGAAAAAAAAAAGTGCAGTCTAGGCTCACAAAACAGAATTTTTCTTTCTACAACATTAATCAACCTCTACGTGGACACTATACTCATTAGTTTCATGCTCTGTAAATGCATACATGAGATGCCTGAGAAATGGAAAGTTAGGGAAAGCAACCACAGGTATTACAACCATTTAAATAATGATGATATCAATACAAGAATAAACTAAGAATGCATTATAATTTCTAACATTAACATCTTTCCTAATGGGCATATTCCAATATGTCTTGAGCTCAAAACATGTTTTATATACTGCTGCTGCTGCTAAGTCGCTTCAGTCATGTCCGACTCTCTGCGACCCCATAGACAGCAGCCCACCAGGCTCTGCCATCCCTGGGATTCTCCAGGCAAGAATGCTGGAGTGGGCTGCCATATCCTTCTCCAGTTTTATATACTAGCAATGAACAATCCAAAAGTGAAGGTAAGAAAATAATCCCATTTATAATAGCAATAAAAAAAAATAAAATACATAGGAATGAATTTTAAAAATAAGGGCAAGACTTCTACACTGAAACTTATAAAACACTGTTGAAAGAAATTAAAGAAGACCTAAATAAATAAAAACACATCTCATGTTCCTGGATTGGAAAACTTATAATTGTTTAGATAGCAGTAATCTCCCAATTGATCTATAGATTCAATGCAATCAAATTCCCAGCTGTCATCTTTGTAGAAACTGATAAGCTGATTCCCAAATTCATATGAAAGTGCAAGGAATGTCAAAACAACCTGGAAACAGAACAAAGCAGTTCATATATATATGAGTGTATATAATATATATTATTATATATATATGTTTTATATATATATATAATAAAGTTCATATATATCAATATATTACCCTCAATAATATGAATGCATGAATTATATTTTCCCAATAATATAGAGTTATATATTCAGATATGACCATTCAGGTACAATATAAATCAAATCCCTTATGACTGTACACTGGAAGTGACAAATAGATTAAAGGGATTAGATTTGATAGACAGAGTGCCTGAAGAACTATGGACAGAGGTTCATGATGTTGTACAGGAGGCAGTGATCAAGACTATCCCCGCAAAAAAGGAAATGCAAAAAGGCAAAATGGTTGTCTTAGGAGGCCTTAAAAATAGCTGAGAAAAGAAGAGAAGCAAAAAGTAAAAGAGAAAAGGAAGAGATATACCCATCTGAATGTACAGTTCTAAAAAATAGCAAGGAGAGATAAGAAAGGCTTCCTCAGAGATCAGTGCAAAGAAATAGAGGGAACCAATAGAATGGGAAAGACTAGAGATCTCTTCAAGAAAATCACAGATACCAAGGGAACATTTCATGCAAAGATGGGCACAATAAAGGACAGAAATGGTATGGACCTAACAGAAGCAGAAGACAATAAGAGGTGGCAAGAATACACAGAACTATACAAAAAAGATCTTAATGATCGAGCTAACCAGGATGGTGTGATCACTCACCTAGAGCCAGACATCCTGGAATGTGAAGTCAGGTGGGCCTTAGGAACCATCACTACGAACAAAGCTAGAGGAGGTGATGGAATTCCAGCTGAGCTATTTCAAATCCTAAAAGATGATGCTGTAAACTGTGGCACCCAATATACCAGCCAACTTGGAAAACTCAACAGTGGCCACAGGACTGGAAAAGGTCAGTTTTCAATCTAAACTCAAAGAAAGGCAATGCCAAAGAATGCTCAAACTACCACACAATTGCACTCATCTCACACGCTAGCAGTGTAATGCTCAAAATTTTCCAAGCCAAGCTTCAACAATACATGAACCAAGAACTTCCAGATGTTCAAGCTGGTTTTAGAAAAGGCAGAGGAACCAGAGATCAAATTGCCAACATAGGTTGGATCATCGGAAAAGCAAGAGAGTTCCAGAAAAATATCTATTTCTGCTTTATTGACTATGCCAAAGTCTTTGACTGTGTGGATCACAATAAACTGTGGAAAATCCTGAAAGAGATGGGAATACCAGACCACCTGATCTGCCTCTTGAGAAATCTGTATGCAGGTCAAGAAGCAAAGTTAGAACTGGACATGGAACAACAGACTGGCTCCAAATAGGGAAAGGAGTACGTCAGGGCTGGATATTGCCACCCTCCTTATGTAACTTATATGCAAAGTACATCATAAGAAACACTGGGCTGGATGAAGCAGAAGCTGGAATCAAAATTGCTGGGAGAAATATCAAATAACCTCAGATATGCAGATGATACCCCCCTTATGGCAGAAAGTGAAGAGGAACTAAAGAGCCTCTTGATGAAAGTGAAAGAAGAGAGTGAAAAAGTTGGCTTAAAACTCAACATTCAAGAAATGAAGATTGTGGCATCTGGTCCCATCACTTCATGGCAACAGATGGGGAAATAATGGAAACAGTGACAGACTTCATTTTCTTGGGCTCCAAAATCACTGCAGATGGTGACTGCAACCATGAAATTAAAAGACGCATGTTCCTTCGAAGAAAAGTTATGACCAACCTAGACAGCATATTAAAATCAGAGACATTACTTTGCCAACAAAGTCCATCTGTTCAAAGTGATGTTTTTTCCATTAGTCATGTATGGATGTGAGAGGTGGACCATAAAGAAAGCTGAGCACCAAGCAATTGATGCCTTTGAACAGTGGTGTTGGAGAAGACTCTTGAGAGTCCCTTGGACTGCAAGGAGATCCAACCAGTCCATCCTAAAGGAAATCAGCCCTGAATATTCACTGGAAGGACAGATGCTAAAGCTGAAACTCCAATACTTTGGCCACCTGATGTGAAGAACTGACTCATTTGAAAAGACCCTGATGCTGGGAAAGATTGAAGGCATGAGGAGAAGCGGAGAAAAGAAGATGAGATGGTTGGATGGCATCACCAACTCAATGGACAGGAGTTTGAACATGCTCCGGGAGTTGGTGATGGACAGGGAAGCTTAGCGTGCTGCAGTCCATGGGGTCGCAAAGAGTCGGACTCAACTCACTCAAAGAGCGACTAAACTGAACTGAATATAGAGAAATAGAATGCACAAAATGTTAGTAACAGGTGATGCTGGGTAAAGCATATAGGGAAGAATTCTTCACACTATTATTCTTTCAGTCTTTCTCTAGGTTTGAAATCTTTTACAAATAAAACTCTTTTACATGTATACTGCCACTGAAAACCCAACACACCCAGTTTATTGATGTCCATGATCAATAATTAGGCTATTAAATGTGAAATGTCAGGACTAAGGCAGATGAACAATTATTGTTATAAAAACTGCAACTTCTACATCTAGTGAACAAAAACACATGCTGAGAAGAAGCCATGTAGCTAGTGCGCAACCACCTCAATTGTCTTGTGATTCTGTTTTTTATTTAGACTTGCATCTCAACAAATGCAAAACAAAACAGGATGCAACTTTTGAAAATGTTCGTGTATATTAATACTTTTAAATTTAAAAATTTAATATAAAAGAAGCTTATCAGCATCAAATAACCCCATCCATGTGACATGAATTTCAAGAAAATATAGTTCAAATAAATGGTCTCTCAATTTAATATCCTGATTAAACTATTCCTTTCATGAATCCCATCTTGTTGAAAAAAAAAAAAACCTTTAAAAATGTATTAGTATATTTAATTGCCTTACAGAATAAGACACATTAATCCTAATTGAATCTCTTTTTAAACAGCCTTCAGTCTACCAGTGTTCCTTGTTCAGGAGTATAAAGTATGTACAAGTGTATGTATGTGTATATGTGTGTGTGTGTGTGTGTTTGTATGTGTGAGTATGCTGCTGCTGCTAAGTCACTTCAGTCGTGTCCGACTCTGTGCAACCCCATAGACGGCAGCCGACCAAGCTCCGCCACCCCTGGGATTCTCCAGGCAAGAACACTGGAGTGGGTTGCCATTTCCTTCTACAATGCATGAAAGTGAAAAGTGAAAGTGAAGTCGCTCAGTTGTGTCCGACTCTTTGCAACCCCATGGACTGCAACCTACCAGGCTCCTCCGTCCATGGGATTTTCCTGGCAAGAGTACTGGAGTGGGTTGCCATTGCCTTCTCCGATGTATGAATATGAGCTAATGTGAAACATTCACGTTGTTTTTTACACTAAATCCCATTATCTGCCTATTTTACCATCATTTCTTTTTTATCCTAAAATTCACTCACAGTAGAAAACACTTTCTGATTGTACAAAAGAAAATTTTTTCAAAAATACCTGTTGTCATAGAAGTATATTTTATTCTTCCTTTCTGCACTGAAGAAGAAACTGTCACATATGTTATTTGAAAAAAAAGGAATACTGGAGCAAATGTCTAAACTGGATTTCAAAATGTGAATCAATGCTTTCACAGTTGCATTAAGATAATATTCAAAGTAAAAGCTTTTTATACCTTGTTTGCTAGGTTTATAATGTTGAGAGCCTTATCATAATATTCACTGCTGTCCCAATCCAAATAAACAGTGGCTAGTAACCACAGAACTTTAGCCTATAATTGAAAATAGAAAACACACACACACACACAGTTGAGGGTTAAATTGCAATACAACAGCTGACTATGACTTACACAGTGACAGGCATTTCTCAAACCTCAGTCATAATTATGAAATAACATTTCCTTAAGCAATGACATAGTCTTATGATATGTCTCATCATTACATTACCAACACCAAACACCATCTGAGTATTTTATAGTAATAGTTTATTTAAATTTCATATAATTCTGTTAATATAATTATTTTCTTAACAGTTTTCTAGTGCTACAGTACTTTATCATTCCCACTTTAAAAATAAGGAAATTAAAGCCCAACAATATTTAATGTAATCATCTTACCACCTACTATTTTGGTTAGCATTATATTAGGTATCCATCAAAACCAATAAATAGAAAGACATAATTCTTCTCTCCAAGTCTTTATAGTATAGTTCAGATTAACCAACTGGACCACTATTTCAGTAGGAACAGATACTCTTTCCTACAGAGACGATTTCTCCAACACAACCAAGTTTTAAAATTAATAAAGTATTTCTTAATTAAGTCAGTGTCTCCAGCCAGGTCTACATTGATAAGGAGAGTAATTCTAGCCAACACAGACTTATTTAACTACAGATTCACATTTTGAAAGAAGGAGGCCTACTTCCATGAATATTCTACCTTTAAGTATAGTGAGGAAAGTAGGACCAGGCAAAGGTGGTCTTCTAACTTAAAAAAAAAATGTTAAACACATTATGGCTCTGTGAATCTTTGAGAAAGGACATTTAGGGTGTCACACCTTTGAGTTTTTTAATTCAAAAACTAAGATGGATATAATGTACTTAATATCATTAGTATTATCGTGGAACAACTCTCAACTTATAAACTCCTGTAGAGGACTTTGATGGATTAATTATGGCATCTCTGAAAAAGACTGTAGTTACTCTGTAATAGTAAAAGGGTCAAACAATCAGAAAGATAACACAAAATGGATGAATCTCAAAATTATTATGTTAAGCAAAAGAAGCCAGAAATAAAACAGTACATACTGTATTATTCATTTATACAAAGTTCAAGAAAAGCCAAAACTAACCTACAGCAATAAATATCAGAATACTGGTTTTTTTTTTTCATTTATTTTTATTAGTTGGAGGCTAATTACTTTACAATATTGTAGTGGTTTTTGTCATACATTGACATGAATTAGCCATGGATTTACATGTATTCCCCATCCCTATCCCCCCTCCCACCTCCCCCTCCACCCACTCCCTCTGGGTCTTCCCAGTGTACCAGGCCCGAGCATTTGTCTCATGCATCCGACCTGGGCTGGTGATCTCTTTCACCCTAGATAACATACATGTTTCGATGCTGTTCTCTTGAAACATCCCACCCTCTCCTTCTCCCACAGGGTCCAAAAGTCTATTACAGTATAATAACACATATATATGGAATTTAGAAAGATGATAATGATAACCCTATATGCAAAACAGAATACTGGTTTTATCAGGAGAGTAGGAATAGCTATTAACTGGAAAGGGGCCAAGGTAACTTTTGAGGGTGATGGAAATGTCTATATCTTCATCTGTGTGGTAGTTACAAGTCTATATAGATAAACTGAAATTAATCATGCTGTATACTCTTAATATTTGTACAGTTCAGTTCAGTAGCTCAGTCGTGTCTGACTCTTTGTGACCACATGAACTGCAGCATGCCAGGCCTTCCTGTCCATCACCAACTCCCGGAGTCCACCCAAACCCATGTCCATTGAGTCGGTGATACCATCTAACCATCTCATCCTCTGTTGTCCCCTTCTCCTCCTGCCCTCAATCTTTCCCAGCATCAGGGTCTTCTCAAATGAGTCAGCTCTTCACATCAGGTGGTCAAAGTATTGGAGTTTCAGCTTCAACATTAGTCCCACCAATGAACACCCAAGGACTGATCTCCTTTAGAATGGACTGGTTGGATATCCTTGCAGTCCACAGGACTCTCAAGAGTCTTCTCCAACACCACAGTTCAAAAGCATCAATTCTTCGGCGCTCAGTTTTCTTTATAGTCCAACTCTCACATCTATACATGACCACTGGAAAAACCATAGCCTTGACTAGACGGACCTATGTTGAGAAAGTAATGTCTCTGCTTTTCAATATGCTGTCTAGGTTGGTCATAACTTTATCATATATATATATATATATATGTATGTGTATATATATATGTATGTATGTATATATAAGTTATACCTCAATAAAGTATTGCTAGCATGAAAGAAAAACTATTTCATAATATTACTTCTCCATACCTCACAATATGAATATTAGGTATCAGTCACACTTAAATCCTATCTTCATTTCCTCCTTCAGATGTCTTCTCAACTAGATCCTTTGCCTAGAATCCCCTTTGCCCTCCCTTTTAACTATATGAACTCCATATGCTTTTCAAGTCTGTCTCCTGCCAGAAGGTTTCCTTTTTTGTATTCTTTTGTTTTTTGGTTATGCTGGGTCTTCAGTGCTGCACGGGCTTTTCTTTGATTGGGGCAAGCAGCAGCTACTTTTTAGTTGTGGTATGCAGGCTTCTAATTGTGGTGGCTTCTCTTGCGGTGGAACACAAGCTTTAGGGTGCAAGGGCTTCAGTAGTTGTGGCTCGAGGGCTCAGTAGTTGTGGTTCCCGGGATCTAGAGCACAGGCTCAATAATTGTGGTGCACAGGCTTAGTTGCTCCATGACATGTGGGATCTTCTTGGACTAGGGATAGAACCCATTTCTCCTGCACTGGCAGGTAGATTCTTTACCACTGAGCCACCAGGGAAGTCATCAGAAGACTTCTTCAAATATTCTAGTCAACACTAATATCCCCATATTCTGTATACCCTTCTGCATACTTCAGCTTAGTACCACACAGTCTGTCACTTATTTTTCTCATATTGTTTCACTTGTACTCTTTTTTTTAAATCTTCTTTTGACATTTTAATTGAAGTAAAAAATCTATACAGAAAAAGTTCAAAAATCTCAATGGTACAACTCAGAATATTCTCAAGGTGAACAAACATATATTAACAACACAGAAATCAAGAAACAGAACACTAGTCTTATCTCATACCTCTTTTCAGACACTATTCAAAACAAGGATAACCAATTATCTGACTTTTAACACCATGTATTAGGTCTACCTGCTTTTGGCATTCATATTTATGTAAATATACAGTACATACTACCTTGTATTTTGCTCTGTTCAACATTATATGTGAGGACATCCGCATAGTTACAATTATTGTAATCTATTCTCATTGCTATATAAAATTCTAATATCTGACACTATATCAAAATATATTATTATTTTTAATTTTTGCAAAATACACATAACAGAAAATTGATCATTTTAACCATTTTTAAGTGCATGGCTCAGTAATATTAAGTATATTCACACTGTTGTGCAACCATCACCATCATACATCTCCAGAACTCTTAATCTCACAAAATTGAAACTCTATACTCATTAAACAATAGTTCACCATGTTCTCCTCTCTCCAAACCTCTGCAACTACCATTCTATTTTCTGTCTCTATGAATCTGACAATCTAAGAAACCTCATTTAAATGGAATCATACAGTATGTCTTTTTGTGAATGGCTTACTTCACTTAGCATAATGTCCTCAAGGTTCATCTATGTTGTAGCATGTGTCAGAAATTCTTTCCTTTTAATGGCTGAATAATATTCCATTGTATTCACTTATATTAGTTTCATCTTTTAAACATAAGCTTCTTAAGGGTAGAGGCAATGTTTTATGCTTCTCTTTTATTCCCTATCTACCACATCCTAGATGTATATAAGTATTCAGTTACACTTTGATTGATATACTGTAATAATGGTAAGAAGCAGAGATGGATATTAAAAAAAATTCCATTCTGTTATGGCATGTATTAAATTAGCTTTATATCAGATTTAGTACATAATCACATTTTATTTGATTAAATGGTAAAATTAAACCTCCATACGAGGCATGTACTATCTGAGTGGTTACAGGAAACGTAAAACTTTTGAGAATGTAAATAAAAGCTAAAACGTATATAGTCAAACATCATCCTAAGCACTTTACATGTATTAACTCATGAGTATAAGAATCTACCTGGATGGTAGATTCTACAAGCTTATCAACTTAAATAGAGGGATAGATTATTATAAATTTATTAAAATAACATAAACTGTATTTCTTCAACCTACTTCTACAATATTTAACATGATCCTTACCAGCATTTGTGGCTCAACAGAATTCCTGTCCATCCTCCCAATATCATAGCTTTGGCTGTAATTTAAAAAGGAAAAAAGCATATATATGTTTATATATATGCACATTTATTTCAAATTATACTTTTTTTTCTAGATTACATATTACTAAGAACACATGTGATAATTATACTTAATTGCAACTTTTCTATTTTGCACTACAACAGATTATTAGCCAATTAATACATAAAAATAAATTGTATAAAGCAGTATTTTCTAACTTTAGAAAACCACAATTTCCTCGGGATCTATATTCAATAAATCAACACCATAATTACAGTATTGCTCTTCTCCATTTGGCTATATATACTACATAAAACTGTTTTACATGTGTGTACAAGCCCTTACTTTATGAGTACATTTTATTTTTTTACAGTTATTTATGTTAGTTGGAGGCTAACTATTTTACAATATTGTAATGGTTTTTGCCATACATTGATATGAATCAGCCATGGATTTACATGTGTTCCCCATCCTGAACCCCCCTCCCACCTCCCTCCCCATTCCATCCCTCTGGGTCATCCTAGTGCACCAGCCCTGAGCACTTGTCTCATGCATCCAACCTGGACTGGCGATCTGTTTCACAATTGATAATATACATGTTTCAATGCTATTCTCTATGAGCACATTTTAAAGTATAAGAAATATATTTTTATAATAAATACAAGCGTTTTCATGAAAACAAATGCTTCAGCAATATTTATTATGTTTCACAACACCCTTGTGACGCACAGTATTAGTTCCATTTTGCAGCTGAATGAACCAGTTTAGCAGTTAAGTGATTTCTAATATTTCCTAGATTAATACTGAAAATGATAGCAAGGGGTTGGGGAGTAAAGAAATTTGACTTTCAGTTATCTGCTTTAATTTCCATACTATATTATCTATGGGACATCCTGATAACCAGAAATAATATACGAATATGAGTCTCAGGTTTTCAAAACACCTAAAAGCAAAACAAAGATCATTCACCATAAAATTGGTATTCCAAGGAAGAAAGTCAATAAAATTTTGGTGAACTGTGCTAAATTGAAGCCATTGTTTTCAAAAATTTCTTTTAAAAAACTCTGAAAGACCCAGAACTACCAAACTGAATTTTCAGCTTGCTAACGAGGGTATAAAGCTGGCCTATATTTTAACAGCCTCACTGAACAACCTGTCTCGTAGAGGTCTCCGTTGGTACATTAAACCTTCTACTTCTAGTTTTTTAAATAATCAATGAAAATAGAACTTCTGCAACTGTGGTATCAAGGAGTTCTTGGACCCTCTCCCCAGTGAAACAACTATCTCCCTGGAAAAATCATTAAAACAACCATTTAAGGTCTCTGGAAAGTGTCCTAAGGGCATACAGCAATTGAAAAACATTTATTAAACAAAACCAACAGAATTTCAGTAAAAACAGTGAGAGTCTCTGGCATTTGAGCCATGATCTGCTCCTATCCACACCACCTCCATGATGAGTGCTGTCAAGAAAGGAATTAGGCAGTGGGGTGGGGAGATGAGTGAAACAGGTGACAGAAATCAAGAGGCACAAGCTTCCAGTTTTAAAATAAATAAGTCATGGAGATATAATGTACAGTATAGGGAATACAGGCAACTAAATTTGTGGTGATCATTTTGTAAGGTACAAAAATATCAAACCACTATGTTATACACCTGAAACTGATATAATGGTCAAAGTCAACTATACTCCAATTTAAAACAAAAAATAAGTTGGAATTCCCTCTTCCTCCAAGTCCTAGACTCAAGCTGCTAGCCTCTCTTACCTTCCCCAGATCTGTGATGCAGAAGTACTATCATGGGCAGGCACAATGAAAGGACTGGGTCTTCCTTTCCCCAACTCAGTTCTCACTCTTAGGCTAAAGTCTCTGCCCCAGGTGTTAACAGCTGACGGTGTTAACACCTTCACCCAGGCTGGCTCTTGGGGCACAGCCTCCAGGACAGGAGGGCATACTAAGAAGATTAGGGGCTACCATCTCCACAACGTCTACTGCAGGAGGAGCTGCCACACTCCTGCCACCAACTGCGGCACAGTTTCTGCCCAAGGGAAGAAGTAGGCAATAAAGAGGAAGAGCTTAGCATTTCTGCCTAAGGGAAATGACTTGAAAACCAAGCAAGAAGAGACTCCTGCCTAAGGGTATAGTCAAAAACAATGGAGATCTTAGCCATGCTTGATTAAGGAGGAGGCTATGCATGTGGTAGGGAAGGAGGTATGTGGAAAATCTCTGTACCTTCCTCTCAATGTTGCTGTAAACTTAAAACTGTTCTAAAAAAATTCCGTCTTAAAAAAATGAAATCACATTCATTTCTGGGGGGTGGGGGGTGGCGGGTAGTGTTGGAGATTGTGCACATGCCCAAGACTACTCACTTAGGCATGACCCGAGAGAAAACATATTCGCTACAAGCCCCTGGCTGAACACAGGGCAAAATAATGAATTCACTGAACTGTGAAGACAGTCTTTAAGCCAAACACATAATCAAAAGGAAAGGGTGAAAATCAAACTGGCTAAGTGGGCTTAAAACAACCTTTGACCAACATGGGGCTTATGTTTCCAGATGCAGGGGTGAACCCCAGAGAGCCATGAAAAGACAAAAACAGGAGAAAAAACTCTCAGCAGGGACATTACAGGTCATATACTATAAGAAAAACAGATCTTACAGAATTAGTCCAGTCAGATAAACAAACAAACAGATGACCAAACAAACAATAAAAGAACATTAACTTCCAGAAAAGAGGGGGATAGGTATCCAAACTTGCCACAATATATTATCAAAAATGTCTAGTTTTCAACAAAATATATGACATATAATAAAACAGTGACTCATACAGAGGAAAAGGAGAAAGCAGTAGAAGCTGCCTTTGAGAAGTCCTAGATATTACACTTATTTGAAAAATACTTCAAAGAAGCTATTGGAAATATGTTCAAAAAACTTTAAGAAACCATGTTTAAATAATTAAAGGAAGGTATGGTAACAGTGATTCATCAAATAGAGAATAAGAATATATCAATTAAATGATCAAAATAATTTTAAAAAGTAGACATTCTCAAGCTGAAAAGTACAATAACTGAAATGAAAAATTCACTAGAAAAAGCTCAAAGTAGATCTAAGCAAGCAAAAAGAGAATAAACAAACGTGAAGATAGATTGATAGTGATTATACAAATCTAAACAATAAAACATAGATAAGAAAAAAAGAACAATGCCTCAGAGAAATGTGGGACATCATTAAGCACACCAACATAAACACAGAGTACCAAAAGGAGGTAAGCAAGAGAAAGGGATAGGAAACACATTCAAAGAAATAATGGTTGAAAATGTCCCAAATTTGATGAAAAAAAATAATAATCTACTCACTAAAGAACCTGCCTACAATGCAGAAGACCCCGGTTTGATCTGTGGGTCAGGAAGATCTGCTGGAGAAGGGACAGGCTACCCACTCCAGTATTCTTGGGCTTCCCTTGTGGCTCAGTTGGTAAAGAATCCACCTGCAATGTGGGAGGCCTGGGTTCGATCCCTGGGTTGGGAAGATCCCTTGAGAAGGGAAAGGCTACCCACTCCAGTATTCTGACCTAGAGAATTTCATGGACTGTATAGTCCATTAGATCACAAACAGTCAGAAACGACTGAGTGACTTTCACTTCACTGCTTTTCACACATTAAGAAGCTTAACCAGCTCCATGTAGGATAACACAAAGAAATTCATACTCAGACACATTATGGTCAAATTATTCAAAGAGAAAATACTGAAAACAATAAGAGAAAAATGTTTCATCATGTAAAAGGGAATGATACATGTAAAAAGTCAGATTAACAGCTGACTCTTCATCACAAACAATGGGGGCAACGGCAGGGATGCCTTATTAAAAAACTATCAATTAAGAACCCTATATATAGTAAAAGTATTTTTCAAAATGAAGGCTAAATAAATACATTCCAAGACAAACAAAAACTGAGAATTTCTTGCTAGCCAACACACATTCAGTTCAGTTACAGTCACTCAGTTGTTTCCAACTATTTTGAGACTCTGGACTGCAGCACTCCAGGCTTCCCAGTCCATCATCAACTCCCACAGCTTACTCAAACTCATGTCCATCAACTCGGTGATGCTATCCAACCATTTCATCCTCTGTCACCCCCTTTTCCTCCTGCCTTCAATCTTTTCCAGCATCAGTGTCTTTTCCAATGAGTCAGTTCTTCGCATTAGGTGGCCAACATAATGGAGATTCAGCTTCAGCATTAGTCCTTCCAATAAATATTCAGGATTGATTTCCTTTAGGATTGATTGGTTTAATCAAGAGTCTTCTCCAACACCACAGTTCAAAAGAATCAATTCTTTGGCACTCAGCCTTCTTTATGATCCAACTCACATCTATACATGACTACTGGAAAAATGGTAGCTTTGACTAGACAGACCTTTGTTGGCAAAGTGATGTCTCTGCTTTTTTAATACACTGTCTAGGTTTGTCATAGCTTTTCTTCCAGAGAGCAAGTGTCTTTTAATTTCATGACTGTAGTCACCATCTGCAGTGATTTTGGAGCCCAAGAAAAGAAAGTCTGTCATAGTTTCCATTGTTTCCCTAACTATTTGCCATGAAGTGGTGGGACTGGATGCCATGATCTTCGTTTCTTGAATGTTGAGTTTTAAGCCAGCTTTTTCACTCTCCTGAATGAATATTCCTGAATATTCATTGGAAGGACTGATGCTGAAGCTGAAATTCCAATATTTTGGCCACCTGATGCAAAGAACTGACCTGACACTGGGAAAGATTGAAGGTGGGAGGAGAAGGGGATGACAGAGGATGAGATGGTTGGATGGCATCACTGACTAGATGGACATGAGTTTGAGTAAGCTCCGGGAGTTGGTGATGGACAGGGAAGCCTGGCATGCTACATTCTATGGGGTCACAAAGAGTTGGACACAACTGAGCCACTGAATTGAACTGAACTGAAACATATAGTAAAAATCTGACACAGTTAGCTTATGATAGAAATATCAGTCATGTTCTATCACCATCATATTTTCCTTCTGTAAGGTTTTCTTAAAAAGATGATGACAGATAAGAGGTCAACAATCCATGGCATATATGATAATAACCTACATGTTATGCCACTTCAGCCTAAGTCTACTCTTATAAACCACTCCCTAGAGAATATTCATGTTCATATTTATTCTTAGCATAAACTACAGGCTCACCTCCATAGTCTTAAGCTTCCAGAAGCCATCCATGGCACCATAACATCCTTTTTTCTTTATTTTGTCCTTCCCATTCCTGTCTCCTTGGCATACTAATCTTTGATAGGTTGATGTCATCTTTCTGACTGCTCCTCCCTCAAATACTGCCAAATCTTGGAGGAGAATTTACTCTTCATTTACTTTATAAAAAGGTTGCTCATTTAAAGGAAACCTGTGGTGTGGAGATTCCTTAAGGAACTAGAAACAGAACTGCCATATGACCCAGCAATCCCACTGCTGGGCATACACACTGAGGAAACCAGAATTGAAAGAGACACGCGTACCCCAATGTTCATCACAGCACTGTTTACAAGAGCCAGGACATGGAAGCAACCTAGATGTCCATCGGCAGACGAATGGATAACAAAGCTGTGGTACATATACACAATGAGATATTACTCAGGCATTAAAAAGAATGCATTTGAATCCGTTCTAGTGAGGTGGATGAAACTGGAGCATATTATACACAGTGAAGTAAGGCAGAAAGAAAAACACCCATACAGTATATTAATGCATATATATGGAATTTAGAAAGATGGTAACAATGACCCTATATGCGAGACAGCAAAAGAGACACAGATATAAAGAACAGACTTTTGGACTCTGGGAGAAGGTGAGAATGGGATGATTTGAGAGAATAGCATTGAAACATGTATATTACCATATGTGAAATAGATCGCCAGTCCAGGTTTAATGCATGAGACAGGGTGCTCAGGGCCAGTGCCCTGAGGGACGGGATGGGGAGGGAGGTGGGAGGGGGGTTCAGGGTAAGGGACACATGTATACCCATGGCTCATTCATGGCAAAAACCACTACAATACTGTAAAGTAATTAGCCTCCAATTAAAATAAATAAATTAATTTAACTAAATAAATAAATAAATAAAGGAAACCTGTGGTAAACCTACATTAAACTAGTTAGTTCCTTTGGTATACTTTTAATAATTAAGTTTATAAAATATGATTTATAATAAAAATTGCAGGTATATCCCACTCATGTGAAGCAGTCTAAATTGAGACAAGTATATCTCTTATCTACATAAGCCTGTTTTGTCAGACATAGTTCTTTATAAAGTTTAATCAATCTTTGGGCCCAAAAAAGTCTTTTATACAAACAAGTTATTTGCATAAATATTTTATTAGAAGTATATATGCCTGTGAGGACTATAATCTTAATGATATTTCTATTTATTTCATTAATGGCAGATATAATTTTCACAGTAGTTAAACTAATCAAGAGGCTACCTCCAAATAACTATAATCAACCCCATACTCAGAGAAGGGAAACATTTAGTGAATTGATTTAATATATTTTACTCCATAATCCCCTGATATTCAAAACACTTTATGTAACATCTACAGAGAAATATATTTTTCACAGAAATTCATTTAACCAGCAATTACTGAGTATCTACCATGTGTCAGAACCTATACTGGGCATAGGTATTCAGTGAAACACAGGATTCTTGCAGATGAGTGCTACATTTTTTCACTATTCCTTTGATATTTCCAGATTCAACATAATAGTACAAATCTCAGTATAGTAATAAGCATATAGTAAGTGCTTGATATATATTTACTTGACTAATATTAAAATATCAAAATTCACTTAAGACTAATAATTTTAGCTGATATTCCTATTTACCCACCTGCCCTTATACTCTGGGGTTAGCAGATACCAATATATACCAAAGCAAAAAATAAAGATTTCCATATTCTTGTCGGAAATACAAAGGAGGAATGGACAAGAACGTGCTCTTTATGTTAGTATTTAAGAACAGAATATACTTTTCTATCAACTGGAAACATACAAGAATAATAAATAATTCATGTTAAAAGATAAATAAATTTAGCATGTTAGCCTTTGAAATCAGAAAATGTTTTTCCAAAGTACCCCATGGTAAGTATTAACTGAACTCTATGATAATAATCCTGAATTTACATTCATTATTTTTTTAATATTACCTAAGCCAGAAAGAACTTTCTTCATATTTATTCTGCCTGTGGGTTTGTATTCCAAAGTTGTAACAGACAACATGAAGATAACAAGCCTGCAATATAAAAAACAAACAAACAAGATATGTCAGATTCATGGTTCTTTTAACATTAAAAAATTTATGGCATTTCAGAGTCTTTAAGACATAGTAAGTGTTCTGTACATCAAAATAACCAATAACCCACTCATCCTTGGGCTTCCCTGATAGCTCAGTTGGTAAAGAATCTGCCTGCAATGCAGGAAACCCTGGTTCAATTCATGGGTCGGGAAGATGCCCTGGAGAAGGGATAGGCTACCCAATCCAGTAGTCTTGGGCTTCCCTTATGGATCAACTGGTGAAGAATCTGCCTGCAAAGCGGGAGACCTGGGTTCGACCCCTGAGTTGGGAAGATCCCCTGGAGAAGGGAAAGGCTACCCACTCCAGTATTCTGGCCTGGAGAATTCCATGGACTGTATAGTCCATGAGGTCACAAAGAGTTGGACACGACTGAATGACTTTCACCTTCACTCATCCTTAACAAAACCTCTCAATTTATATAAAGAGGAACTAAAAATATTCAGGGTGTGGCATCAGATACATATGGAAAAGTAATACATTACTAATTGAACTTGAAAGGTTCTTTGTAACAGAAAATAGGGAAACCAATCATTGCCCAGCAAAAGAATAGGCCTCTGTAGGTTGCCAGATTCGATAATAAGCATTAGAAAAGAGTATATGCAAAGAAAACAAAATCACTATTGAAGGGGGGAAAAAATGAATGAATATCTTTCAAAATTAAGACAATTAAAAATAATTCTAAAGTTCAAAGCACTATCTAGTCATAAGACCTATTTAGAAATAATTAATTTGGGTCTTCCCAAGTGGCTCATTGGTGAAGAATCTGCCTATCAATGTAGGAGAAACAGGTTTGATTCCTGATCCAGGAAAACCCACATGCCTCGGAGCAACTAAGCCCATGTGCCACAACTCTAGAGCCCAGAAGCCACATCTACTGAGTCCACATGCCACAACTACTGAAGCCTGTGCACCCTAGAGCCCATGCTCTGAAACAAGAGAAGCTCCCACGCTGAGAAGTCCATGCACCACAACTAGACAGTAGCCCCCACTCGCTGCAACTAGATAAAAGCCCACACAGTAATGAAGACCCAGAACAGCCAAAATAAATAAAATTATTTTTTAAAAAAGAATTAATGTGTCTCGTAATGACAATAAAAATTTTCTTTACCTAAATTACAACTGAGATAAAAGTAGAAACAAGTATGTGAATGATGCCATAGGCAAATACTCTTAAAGATTATTAACCAGCATCTCAGTCCTTGTATCAACAATGTCATATCTTATAGAATTTTCATTCATCAAAATACTGGGAAATGACATAAAAAAATTTAATTCTAATAATTTACCCAAATATTCCCTCAGTATTTATAGAAATCATCTATCCAGAATCTGTCACACCCACATAAATGAATCTTTTATATAAGTTTTACCTCAGTAAGACTACAGAGGCAGATCCTGAGGCAAGTTATTCATAAGTAATGTGTAAAGAGCTGTCTTGCTTCAAATAAGTTTCCCTTTGAAATTTTGTACAGTACATTAAGAAAGTAGAAGTTCAATATGCATGCTTGAGTACATCAGACCTACTGTATATTTAAATCCAAACTAAAGAATAGTCTTGGTAATGTGGGCCTGGCAAGAATCCAGAAGTATTTGAATGCATTCTCGACATTTCAACAGAAAAAGCTTAACTCATTACATGCCCCAGATCCCATAGGTTCACACAGGGCCACACCAATTATACAGCTATACTGGAATAATGCAGCTTATACCCACTTGCTGCAGAAAGGCTTGCAACTAACTTATACAGAGAAAAATGGAAAGTAAAACTTTTGATGAACATTAAATATACTGAGTCTTTATCCACTATCCTCAGTGTTTTCTTTTTTTCTGCCCTCACAATTCCTTTAAGTGTACTTACATTACATGCTACCTCCTAGGGGAGAAACGAATACCAAATAACAACAAATTTGTAAGACCAAACCTTGTTGTTTTTGTTGTGGTTTGGTCACTGAGTCATGTCCAACTCTTTGCCACCACATGGACCATAGCCTGCCAGGCTCCTCTGTCCATGGGATTTTCCAGGCAAGAATATTGGAGTGGGTTGCAATTTCCTTCTCCAGGGGACTGTCCCAACCCAAGGATCAAACTCACAGCTCCCCAGTGGCAGGCAGATTCTTTACCACTGAGCTACCTGTGAAGCCCAAGACCAAACCTACAAAATACAATATCTAATATTTTAAATATACTAATTCAGTATAATAAATATACTAAGAGATCTGTAACATATTTCACTGTAATGATCAAAAAAGTCTTTTAATTACCAATACTGTTCCATTCACTCATTCACTTATATAAATAATATTATAAATAAAAATAAAAAGTAAAAATATTTATGAATAGTAAATATTTACTAAACATGTTCTATCTATAATGTGAGGGTGTTAGTGGCTCAGTTGTGTCCAACTCTTTGCAACCCCATGGACTGGGGTCCGCCAGGCTCTTCTATCCATGGGGTTTTTTTTTTTTTTTAATTTATGGGATTTTCCAGGCAAGAATACTGGATTGGGTTGCCATTCCCTATCCAGGCAAGAATACTGGAGTGGGTTGCCGTTCCCTTATCCAAAGGATCTCCCTGACCCAGGGATCGAACCCAGGTCTCCCACATTTCAGGCAGACTCTTCACCATCTGAGCCACTAGGGAATATCTATAATCTTAGGCAATATTTAAGGAATTAAAGATACATCAGTGAACAAAACAGACAAAGATCCCTATCCTCATGAAATATTTATAACGGGGTATTAAGTACTAAGATGTATACAAATATCTCTTTTAAAAATACTTTCCTGGTCTTCCATGCAGTGGTAACATCTCACTTTGCAAGTAATATACAATGGCAAGTAATACAAAGGTAGATCTGTAAGTCTATTGTATTGGTCATATAGAAATGGACTTATGAGACTAGAACTACGGAATCTCTAGAACCTCCAGCCACTGTTACATCTCTGGCCCAGAAATGACAGATCCAACCAAATACCTACTTTACAATGCCAAGATTAGACTATATAGATGATTTTTAAAACTCACTTAGATACTGCTGCTAAAAATGACTTTGATCACTAACTTTTGAGTTCAACACAAGACTTTTTATTTTTAATTAAGCATATAATTTCATTTTCTGTATATTACTTTGTAACTTAGATTCTTAAAATAGAGAAAAAGCAGACCTATTATTTTTTTTGTTCCAAACTATTTTTCTTTGTGATTTTGTTGTCTTTTAAACATTTGTAGATCATGCATTTTTACATTTTGTTAAATTATATTAGTGTACCAGTAATTAAATGATAATTGCCTGACATTCTTCCTTAATGGCTTTAGGACATTTATCTTCCAATCCCTCCCTTACTCAACTTTCTCTAACCCTCAGATATCTCAGTAATACTAAACTCATTAGTCATTAGTTACTTCTCTTGGTGTTCTAAGAAAAAAATTTCCAAACACTTTATTTCTTTACCTCCAAAAAACAAAACAGCAGTACATTCTGCCATCATGTCAACACCTTAGATAATCCTTAATCTAGTTTTGGGATACAGGAAGGTTGTCTCAGAAAAAAAGAGAGATGGCTTATTTAATTCATTAACTCCTTTTAAGTGACTAGCACTACAGTTAGCTCCTCTCCAACCTTTATCTGGTCATTTCCTCTCGCAAGATTTCTTGCCCTAGATTTTCAAGTCTCGTCTAAATCTTAAGTTCATCAAAAGCACACTAAATAATTTCATTGACCTTTAGAATGAAAATATTGAGTTTTCTAACAGTATAGTTTTATCAATCATCTTCTAAATAAAATATAAACTCTTAACTATGAACTTCAAGGTCTTTCACTGGTAGCCCCATTCTGACAAAGGCATAGTTAATTACTTCTCTGTTACATATCCTCGAAACCTCTAATTCAGTCTATCCTCCCCCCTCTATATTTGCTTTTCTCTTTATCAACTCACTCTGAGCAAGATACCACAAGTTTTCCTTCCCTAAACACTAAATGAGTTTCCTTTCATATCTTTCAATATGCAGTTCAATGTCTATTTACTCTACAAAGCATATTAAAGAAAAGTTCCTATCCTCTAGTAATTTATAATGTAAAATAGATAGCAACAAAGATAATGACAAAAGAAGCAGATAGTAAAAAAAAATGAAAATGCCAACAATCCAAGAAATTTTACAGATAAAATTATCAGAATTAACAAGAGTTCAGAAAAGTTGTTGATATTAAACAAACATTTAAATGCAACTGCAATGACAACCAACTAAACAATGTAAACTTTAAGATATCACTATCCCACACAGATGTATAGAACAGACTTTTGGACTCTGTGGGAGAAGGCGAGGGTGGGATGTTTCAAGAGAACAGCATCGAAACATGTATATTATCTAGGGTGAAACAGATCACCAGTCCAGGTTGGATGCATGAGACAAGTGCTCCGACCTGGTGCACTGGGAAGACCCAGAGGGATCAGGTGGAGAGGGAGGTGGGAGGGGGGATAGGGATGGGGAATACATGTAAATCCATGGCTGATTCATGTCAATGTATGGCAAAAACCACTGCAATATTGTAAAGTAATTAGCCTCCAACTAATAAAAATAAATGAAAAAAAAAAAAAAAGATATCACTATCCCTGGTGGCTCAGATGGTAAAGAATCTGCCTGCAATGTGGGAGAGCTGGGTTCGATCCCTGGGTCAGGAAGATCCCCTGGAGAAATCAATGGCTACCCACTCCAGTATTCTTGCCTGGGGAGTTCCATGGACAGAGGAGACTACAGTCCATGGGATCCCAAAGAGTCAGACACAACTGAGCAACTAACACACACACACACACACACACGACAACAGTTGATTGTGAAATCTTTATGAAGAAAATTATAAAACTATGCTGAAGTACATTAAAGAGGACTCTATAATAAATTATACGTATATAAATCAATCACATTCATTGATAAGAAG